CTGTTAATGGTGTGGTTCTGTTAGCAGTGTAGTTCTGTTAACAGTGTAGTTATGTTAACAGTGTGGTTCTGTTAACTGTGTGGTTCTGTTAGCAGTGAGGTTATTTTAGCATCATGGTACTGTTAACAGTGTAATTCTGTTAACAGTGTGGTTCTGTTAACAGTGTAGTTCTGTTAACAGTGTGTTTCTGTTAGCAGTGTGGTTCTGTTAGCAGCATGGTACTGTTAGCAGCATGGTACGGTTAATAGTGTGGTTCTGTTAACAGTGTAGTTCTGTTAACAGTGCATTTCTGTTAACAGTGTTGTTCTGTTAACGGTGTGTTTCTGTTAGCAGTGTAGTTCTGTTAACAGTATAGTTCTGTTAACAGTGTGGTTCTGTTAACAGTGTAGCTCTGTTAACGGTGTGGTTCTGTTAGCAATGTAGTTCTGTTAACAGTGTAGTTCCGTTAACATTGTGGTTCTGTTAGCAGCATGGTACTGTTAGCAGCATGGTACTGTTAGTAGCGTGGTACTGTTAACAGTGTAGTTCTGTTAACAGTGTAATTCTGTTAACAGTGTGGTTCTGTTAACGGTGTAATTCTGTTAACAATGTGGTTCTGTTAACAGTGAGGTTCTGTTAGTAGCATGGTACTGTTAACAGCGTGGTTCTGTTAACAGTGTGGTTCTGTTAACAGTGTAGTTCTGTTAACAGTGTGGTTCTGTTAGCAGTGTGGTTCTGTTAGCAGCATGGTACTGTTAGCAGCATGATATTGTTAATGGTGTAATTCTGTTAACAATGTGGTTCTGTTAACAGTGAGGTTCTGTTAGCAGCATGGTACTGTTATCAGTGTGGTTCTTTTAACAGTGTGATTCTGTTAACAGTGAGGTTTGTTAGCAGTGAGGTTCTGTTAGCAGTATGATTTTGTTAGCGATGTGGTATTGTTAGCAGCGCAGTCCAATTAACAGCATGATGAAATAACGACAGCAGCAACGGACGATGACTGCCCTCCAGAACCGGGTCTGGCAGACAGAACATTCAAGGTTTCCCTGCGGAACCGGACTGTTCTGTAGAGTTTGATCAGTGCAGGCAGATGGAGGGTCATGGAGACGGCCGCCATGACAGGCGGAGCCTGAGCTCCAGGCTGGAGGGGGACCGGGAACTGAACTATGTTGGCACGATAACAAGTCAACGATACACAAAACTCCACAAGCGGTCATACCCGTAGTGTGGGTGTACAGTGTAGGCGCAATAAAAGTTAAAACAAAAACAACAGGAACAAAAAAAGAACGAGTCGAAGTGGAGCTCCCATCAGTGCTACCATACCGCAGTGCACGTGACGTCACAAGTGACGAAAAAACTAAGATTGTTAGAAAGCTCAAGGAAAAACAACTTATTTTTATCCACTACGTCCACATAGAAAGGAAAAGGTCTGTATAGATTCAAAGTGAAGTTTGTAGTTGAAAACATTAAAGTTTTATCATGAAAACTTCAAGAAATAAACAACAAAAAAACATCTGATTATTTGTTTCCTCTGAACTCAGGCATGTAATGTTGAAGTGATGCTCTGCCGCTGCTCCTGCAGGTATCGTGTTAGTGGCCATTAATCCGTACGAGCAGCTGCCCATATACGGTGAGGAGGTGATCGATGCGTACAGCGGTCAGGACATGGCTGACATGGAGCCGCACATCTTTTCTGTGGCGGAGGAAGCCTACCGCACCATGACCAGGTGACAGCTCGGACATCAGAAGTCATGCTATGATGATCTGTTTTCTCTATGCAGTGATCTTTGTGTGTTACAGAGAGGAGAAGAACCAGTCCATCATCATCAGTGGGGAGTCTGGTTCAGGGAAAACGGTCTCAGCCAAATTCACCATGAGATACTTTGCTGTGGTTGGAGGTGCAGCACAGCAGACCAGCGTGGAAGAGAGGGTCCTGGCTTCAAACCCCATCATGGAGGTAAAGGCGTGTTTCGGCTGAATGCGTTATTTTCCAAATGAGGAACAAAGCCTCGGTCTGTGTTTTGTCTTCAGTCTATGGGAAATGCTAAAACCACCCGAAATGACAACAGCAGTCGTTTTGGGAAGTACATTGAAATTGGCTTTGGCAGGAAGGGGGACATCATCGGGGCCAACATGAGAACTTATCTGCTGGAAAAGTCAAGGGTCGTTTTCCAGGTGAAGCACCTCCACAGCTGTACGGTAGATTAAACGAAAAAAAGATTCACTTTTTTAAAAAAAAGTTCTTCTAAATGTTCTGTATTTTTGTTTGTGCAAGGCGTCATCAGAGAGAAACTACCACATCTTCTATCAGCTGTGTGCATCCAGAGATCTGCCTGAAATGAGAGCACTCAGACTCAGTGAGACCTCGTCAACAAGCTCTTGAGCATCTTATCATGTCTGCAAGGCTCGTATTCTGAGCAGTTTGTTGACTTCCAGACGCACCGGGACATTTCCGCTACACCAACCAGGGAGGGGACGAGCAGATACCTGGCACTGATGATTTGTCTGACCTGGAGCACACTCGCAATGCTTTCACCACTCTCGGTAAATGTCGGAGAAAAATATTCTCGCTTATCTTACTTACTAAAACAAAAAATAAACACATCTGACGGCAGGAGAAGAGGTCAGATTTTCAGGATAGGTTACATAAATATACATAAAGTACACACATGAAGACCAGTCACAAAATTCTGCCCCGAGCTGCCTCCTCTGATCGCTTTTATACCCTTATCAGTTCAGCCGAGTTTACAGAACTTGGAGGTGCCCTTGGCTGCAGCATGCTCACTCAGCTCCTCATCCAGCTCTCTCCACTAACCCAAACCTATGATTCATGGGCAGAGTTAAGATTCTCAGCCATAGTATTAACAACATTCATAACATCTGACCAAAAATTCTTCAACAGTAAACTGCTTTGCATCTCCTCATTCTGCAGACTAAAATGTTGCAATTTAAGGACCTTCTTAACTTTTTTATTGTGAAACTGCAGGTGTGCTTCCTGACCAGCAGATGGAGCTCTTCAGGATCATTTCGGCTGTTCTTCACCTGGGAAATGTTAACATTCAAGCCAGTGGGAGGAGTTCGGACAGGAGTTACATAGATGTACTAAATATTCTGCCTTTCCTTTTTTATCTTACTTCTTATTTAGTTTCATTTAACTTTTTACTGTTTATGCTTTCTTCTGTAAGCTATTTGAAATCAAACATCATCTACTACTTTTGATATTTTGTAACCTTTACACTTTCAAAATATTTTACTTTATTTCAAATAAAATCCCTACCTAAATATGTTAAGAGCTTTTTAGTTCCTAAAAAAACACATTCAGATCAGCGTTAGCATACTTGCTCCAATTTTTTTCCTTCTCACTTCTTTTCTACTGTTTTGCCATTTTTAGCTACAATTTTGCAAATTAAAAATTTTACCAACTGTTTTACTAAAAATAGTTTTTAAATTAAGCATTGAGCATCAACTTTTAACTTTAAGCTACATATTTGCAAATGGTAGCTTTTATATTCAGTTTAGCTAAATTTAGTTTTTATATATAGTTTTGCTATTTTTAGCTTTAAATTACAACGTTTAGCTTTGTTTTGCAAATTGTAGCTGTTTTCTTCAGTTGTGATAAATTTGGCTTTTAGCTGTTATTTTTCTAATTTGACCTTATTATTCGTCTGTTGAAAGGTGAATGGTTTAGTTTATTATGGTTTAGTCTCTGTACATCTGTAAAATATCTCTTGTTCCACCCATAAATACTAATTTAATCAAGATCCTTTAATGAAACTTCATACACATACGCATCATCAGCAGATGGAGTGTAGCATATGTTTTCATCGCCCCAGCTCCAAGGTTCAAATCAAGATCAAATGTTGTACAAGGTCTTCACTTGTCGGGGCCTGCATGTGCTTTAGTCTGCTGTATTGCTGTATAATAAATTGTTGATGGGTATATAATGTGTCATACGTGGTACTCTTGTTTCTGCCTGTTTTACCTTAAACAATTCAGTTAAAGATCAACATTTATTTAAAAAAGGCTATTTTTCTGTTGTTTTTGTCGTTCCTCAGGCAGAGGACCACGCTCTGGCTGTGTTCTCCAAGCTGTTGGGAGTTGAAAGATCTCAGATGGCTCACTGGCTGTGCCACCGCAGACTCACAGTAGGAGGAGAGATGCTGGTGAAACCTATAACTGGTCAACAGGCTCAAGAAGCCAGAGACGCACTTGCAAAACACATCTACGGCCAGCTGTTCATATGGACCGTCCAGAGGCTCAACTCTGCCCTGCGCAGCCAGAGGTCAAAGGCCAAATCCTTTATAGGGGTGCTGGATATCTACGGGTAAGCAAGCAGCGTCAGCTGTGTGTGTTTTCCTGCAGTGTATGATTCCAGCTGTGCGTCCTCAGAATATTTACACAGATCGTATGTTTTTGGAGCAGGTTTGAGACTTTTCAGTGGAACAGTTTCGAACAGTTCTGTATAAACTATGCAAATGAGAAGCTTCAGCAGCAGTTTAACCGGGTGAGTTTTCTTTTGATGCATTTTTGTTGTTATGAAGGTGTTTGGGGGGGGGGGGGGGCGTTGGGTTCTAAAACAAATGTATTAAAAGTGTCAGAGACGTGAAAATGCCATCGTTCATACCTGCAATAAATGTCATAAATTTTTTTAACATAAAATGCTGTCAATATATACTGTTAATGTCATTATCTATCTATCTATCTATCTATCTATCTATCTATCTATCTATCTAT